ACTATCAATAGGGATAATTTTGAAAAAAAGGCAATAATTACATATCAAAAAATTAAAAATATTTTATATTTTTTAACATCCAGCCTTTCAAAAAATATCTTATATTTTTAAGCAAAGGGAGTAAAATATTTGTTCGAAAGAAAAAAAAAAAGTGCCCCCCTCTGAACCGGACTGTTACTATCTATTACTTTTTCTAGGCTATGATATAAATTATTTTCAACCAATTTACGTTACCATATAAAAGAAGTTAATTAAAATCTTAATTTTTAATTTTTTTACATATTTTTAATTATACTCTTGCATGGAATAAATACTTCATTCGTTTTAATCTATAACACTTTCAAAGAAGATTTGGAGTCTCAATACATAAGATACTTTAATAAAGATAATGTTTCATTGATGATTTTTTTTAAAATTATCATTCTTATTATATTCTCTCTTTTTAATATCCTTTTACAAATGTAATATTAAATAAAATATATTTTTTAAATTTTATATTTTTATTTTAAAAAGTTAAGATTATAAAGTGTATTTAATAAATTTTATTGGTATACATGATTTAAGTTTTATCTAAAAATTTCTTATAAATTAAGATGATGAGTATAATATTTGACATATGCAGAATACTTCCATTAATTTCTAGAGTATACTAAGTAAGGATACCATTGAATTGAAAAATGTACATACTCCATTCATTAAAAAATATAAAATATTTTTAACTGAATCTCATCCCCCAATAAAGTGATTATCTACTTTTAAATTAATCTTATATTTTTATATTTACTCCTATTAAACATCCTATAATAAATATTAAATTACTATCAATAGAGGTACTTTTGAAAAAAAGACAATAATTATATTTTAAAAAACTAAAAATACTTTATATTTTTTAACATCCAATTCTTAAAAAAATGCCTTATATATTTGAATAGAGGGAGTATAACATATCCAATATCTTTTACTTAAAAAAAATGCCTTATATATTTGAATAGAGGGAGTATAACATATCCAATATCTTTTACTTTGGACCAAAACACGAAGAGAGTATATTACCATACCACCACCCAATATGACCGTATTATTTATAATGATCAATAAATTTTAATTGACTTCATTAAAATTATCTAATTGAAAATTGTGTTTTTTGGCCTAAATTTAAACTTGTACTCTCTCCGTTTAAAAATGTAAAATATTTTTAACAAAATCTCACTCCCAATAAAGTAGTTATCTACTTTCAAATTAACTCTATCTTTTTATATTTATTTCTATCAAATACTCTATAGTAAATATAAAGTCACCATCAATAGGGGCACTTTTAAAAAAAAAAGCAATCATCATACATCAAAAAATTAAAAATACCTTACATTTTTTAACATCTAACTCCTCCAAAAATGTCTTATATTTTTAACGGAGGGAGTATTCATTACTCACTCAATTTCAAAGAATCAAAATATATGTCTTTTTAGAAGAAAAAAAAAGGACTTCATTTTATATGTTATTTCAGAAACTCAAAGCATTATTACTTACATCTGCTATTTCAAAATAGATGTATTAAGTTTTTTTTAGTATAAGGTTACGGTAAAAACCGTACAAAAAGACTAAAATTTAGTCATATTATATAAAGATAAGACTTAATAAAAATGAGTTTACCAAAAATGATAAATATCGATTTTATTATGAGATAACAAATTTAATTAATAAATTTTTTATATTTTAAAAATTACATGGGAGTTATGATAAAAATAATAAGTGAAATATCCTTCTTTCATAAATATGATTAGAACCATAAATCATGGTAATCAAGGAATTAATTCATAAGAAGATTACCAAGTTATAATTTAAAATAAAGGGATATCAAGTTTTAATAGATTAAAAATAAGTTAAAACTATTCATTAAACATTTAATCAGAGTAAAATTATGTTACGAAAGCATGAGATACCTCGGAAAAGTAAAAAAAGTTGAAAATAATTGAAAAATCTCATTATGCTAAAAATAAAGCAGTGTATTGTGGCTCATGCACTCTGCGCCATAGCTTTTCATTCTTTTTGTGACGCTTGCTCTGCAACATTTTTCATGCTTATAATAGCAATTATGTTGTCATTAGATTGCAAAAATTTAGACAACTTTCGATGTGCCTCATTTTTCCATCGAACATTCAATTGACATGATTTAGATATCTATAAAAAGCTCTTTTTGTAAACTAGTTAATAAAATAAGAATCACTTCCAAAACAAGTCATGTTAAAAAGTTCGACACTCAAACTCAATTTTATCACTTGTCTCAATTTTCATAACAAAAAAGGTGTCTAAGACCCAATACAAGTGTTAGAAGCAATTGCTAACACTCAGACTGTATTTATTGAACCTAGGGCTACTTATATAACACACTACATGCACAATTACACCACTATAACATAATTTTACTATTCAACCCTTTTAATATAAAAAATAGAAAGGTAAAAATTAAAAATTAATTATTTAACCAACTAGATTTTTTAAAAATTAATTTTTAATTATGTGGGGATAAAACATAAAATAAAAAATTATTCCTTATAGCTCGAGTAAAATGCAGTGAATATTAATTTTAAGGATCATTCACATGAGTTTTAAAAACTGAAAAGAAATATATTTAGTTATGGTAAAATAGAGGGAGTATCAGTGTATTTTACTCTTATAGTTTGAATATGCACGAAATACCAAATTTTAAAGTAATTTGTGTGAAAACAAAACAAGTTGGCATATATTTTCTTATTATGGACACATGTTAGTCATATTTTCAACATGCACAATAATATTTTTTCCTTTTTTGTGCAGTAAAAAAGTGTAAGGCTTGTTAAAAAATGGTAGTAGATATAACATTCATAGTAAAAAACAATGATAGGTAAGATATCTACAATAAAATTTTAAAGTTGATTTAAAAAAATGAAAAAGTACATATCATTCTTGAGATTTTTTTAAATTTAATTTACTCAAAATAAAATAAAATAATGTTATTTTTCATAAAGAGGTAATTATAATTAACTCAAATAAGCTTGAAAAAAAATTAAAATTAGGTTTAACTAAATAACGCAATTTTAATTTTTAAGCCTATTCAGGCCAACCCAACTATAATTTTATTGTTTATATATCTGAAAAAATTTAATTTGTAGGTTCTTATAATTTTCTTCTCTTTTAAATTGAGTTTCTATAATTTATTTTATTTTAATTGAGCCTTTACAGTTTGATTCTTTAGATCTTTTAATTTTCGAAGATTAAAATCCCTGAATTGTTTCTTTAAAAAAAGATAAACACTTATAATTTTTATAGTTGAAAATTTATACAATCAGATTACATCTTTTAAATAATTTTTACACATATAGAGTTTTTTTAAAAGGTTTAATTAAAAAAAATAAAAACATTGCATTGGAAAAATTTTTCTATAAACATTAAAAGTGTTTTTATTTTGAAAAAATTAATCATTTATTGATATTTTTAACTTTCATAGGTAAACATGTATTAAACTATAAGAGCTCAATTTAAACAAAATAACTATAAAGATCTAATTAAAAATTAAGAGAAACAGTAAGGACTTGTAGATTTTTTTTATGATAAATTATTTATATTTTTTAACACACACACACATAAGTAACACGTTAAAAAATAAAAACTTTTCTTTAAATTTTATTTTTCACAAAGCAACACTTTCTAAAATAAAATAAATTATTATTTTTATTTTAATATATATTTATATAATACATTTTAAAATAAAATAATCTTTTATTTAGTTTAAATTTACATAAAAGAATATAACAAGAATATACTAAATATTTTTTTATCCTTTAAATATTAAAACTTCCCTGTGCATCGTAAGGGGAATAGTTGTAATAAATCTGTACTAATTGTTTATTTTAATCCCAGGATTTTACAGCAGAGAGGCTGAGGGAGCATTATTTTGTCTAAGAGAGGATAATCTTTGACTCAAATCTTAATCCCAACCAGCTAATCTCAAGTTATTACTTTTGGCAAGATCATGAACACCACGTGTCACGGACAGCTGGAATTGATCCAGTCAAACATCACCCGCGTTGACTTTGTCTGACAACTCAAAATTTTTCGCGCGGTTCTACTGCCACCTTCCTTCCTTCCTTTCTTTTTTATATCAACACCAGCTTTCTTTTTTTAACTTTCACTTTCTGTTTACAAAAGCACAGTAGTCTATTTTTTTTCCTCTCCCAATAAAACATGAGCATGCACTGATTTTGACAATGGCTTAAAAAACACTCAACTTGGAGGAGGAAAAAAACCACATAATCACAAGGAAATAAAAAAAATTAAGAATTTTTGTGAAGAAAACCCTGCATCCTTATAAAATAATAATACCCAAATCCTTGTTATTCCCCTTCCTGGACTTATTTTAGGCGAGTAAACTAATAATTTAATGTCAATAAAATATTAATTCCCTCAATTTCCTGATTCATTCATGGGATCCGTTTAGCGAATTTATCTTAATGTCTTGCTATCAAATAGGAAAATTACATGCAACCGTTTTAATTTTAATCAAGGAACAAAGTCCAAGATGGGACCCAGTAGATGCCAGCTCATCAATGGCTTTTGCTTTAAATGGCTTAGGCGCCGACTCCCAAGTCCGTGTCCCCTCCACGGTGGAAAACACACCCGACCCGAGAGAGACATCAATATGAACACACAGCGTCGAAGAAGAAACAGAACATAAATTCAAAGCAAACGGGGAGAGGAGGAGGGAGAGAGAGAAGGGAAGAGAAGAGACGACAAGAGAGAAGCTCCGTTTTCTTTTTCTCAGAGTTGACTAAATTTCCTTCTGAACACGGAATAGAAGAATCAAGGAGGAACAAGAAGAAGAAGAAGAAGAAGAGTGACTCAAGTAACTACATCCATCTCTTCCTCTCTCTTTCCTATTATTTCTTTCGCCGTAAGATTTGCGCCACACACAGGATTTATCGCTTCTGTCAATTCTCTTTCATAATTTCCTCACAGGTTCGTTTTAGCCTCCCCTACTTTTCAAATTCAGTATACTTCGTGTTGACCCTCTGATCTTGCATTTCATCTCCTTTGATTTCTGAGAATTTGCGTTTGCTTTTCTGAATTTACATCTCTGCACCTGCATTAATTTCTGTTTCTCTGCTTTCTTCAATTCATCAGCACCTGCGATTTTATCAGTTTCTAGCTTCTGTGGAAACTGATATCTTGTTCGATCTCTACCTGGAAAATTAGGTTGATTGGAAGTGACTTTAGCATCTCTGCTTGCTCTTATGTACGCTTGAATGAGTTCTTTTTAATTATTTACTTTCTCAATTTGTTTTTCTTTGAGGAATAATTTTTCTGTATTTGCTACGAGCATGGCGTAAATTCACTTATATTCTCTATATTTGTGGGTACCAAATAACAATAAATATATTGAGCTATGTGGATCATAGAGTTGTTGGCTGGTGCTAATCTATTTATCATCTATGGGTACTAGGTAGATTGAAGGACGGGAACATAGATATGTGCCTACAACATATTAAACTTTTGTTTTCCGAGTTTGCTCGTGGAATTGAACTTCTTGTTCTGTTCTTTTTCTTCTCTTATTTTGTTTTTTCTTCTTTAACGTCAGATTCAATTTGCAGGACAATTTTTTAATAGTTGCTTTGAAGAATTGAAGCTAAACTTTACTTTTATCTGACGCAGATAGCGAGAACTTTGGATAGCTGTGTTTTTGGAACCAGTGTTTGTGGATGAATATGTCATTTGAGCTTGATATCTACATTTCTTCGGAGTGAGTTTCATTTTTAGTAAGATGACTGAACAACCTCGGATAGTTAAATGTCCCAAATGCCGGCAATTGCTTCCAGAGTATTCACACTATACGGTATATATGTGCGGGGGATGCGGTACAACTCTTCAAGGTAACAAACAAATCACGCCACTTTATATAATTGGGCTCCTTAATTCTGTGTTTAAACTTGGAATTATTATTATTTTTTTGGGCTTTTGAACTTTCTAAACACTTCAAACAATGCGCTTGGGTTGGTCCACTCTTGCAGACTTTTTCAACCATACCAATTTTTTATGATTTCGTTTGATGTCCATATATACTGCTTGCTTGATTGCTATAATGTCTTGTGCATGTGTTAGTTTTCAATGAAAATCCAACTCCTGCAAATGGGGGTGTTGATTCTATATACCTCTTATAGTTTTGATGTTGTAACTGAAATCCTTTCATTTTTCTGCACACAGCCAAGAAACGAAAAAAGGAGGCCGCCAATCGAGAGTCCTGCGAACATAAAACTGATGCAGCTCCTAGAAACGTGGTGAATCTTGCTTCAGAAGATAAAGAATGCAGCAACATAGAGCAGCCAGCTCTTCCTCAGGAGAACGTAGTGAGGTCAAAACCAACTAGCTCTTCCTCGGAAGAATGCTCTTTGGAGGGAGATGGTGGAAGCAATCAAATTGAAAATGGGGAATGCAGGCAGTTAGTTCTTCTTCGGGAGAATGCTGAGAGTACAAAAAGAACTAGTTCTTTCTCAGGAGAATGCTCTTTGGATGGGGATAGTGGAAGCAATCAAAATGAAAACGGGGAATGCAATGCAGACCAGTTAGTTCTTGTTCTTCCTCAGGAGGAAATTGTGATACCAAAGAGAACTAATTCTTCCTCAGGTCATTGTTCTTCGAATATAAATGGTGTATGGGATCAAAGTGAGGATAGGGAATATGATGAAAAAAAAACTGGCTCTTCCTCAGCAGAATGTTCTGAGGGCAGAATCAACTAGTTCTTCCTCAGGTGAACATCCTTTGGATGTTAATGCAAAGGAGGAGTTTAATGGAAAGCAGCTAGTTCTTCCTGAGGAGAAAGTTCAGAAGACAAAACCAACTAGTTCTTCCTCAGGAGAATATTCTTTGGATGTAAATGATAAAAAGGATCAAATTAGAAATGAGGAAAGCAATGTAAAGAAGCTAGTTCTACCAAACGGGTCAAAAGCAGATAGTTTGTCCTCAGCATGTTTGGATGAAAATGGCAGTAAGGAACAAAGTAGTAATGGGGAGTGCAACGAAGAGCGGCTAGATCTTCCCCATGAGAACATTCAAAGAACAGAATCAACAGGTTTTTCCTCAGGAGAATGCTCCTTGGATGAAATTGGAGGAAGGGATCAAAATGAAAATGGGGAGTTCAATGTAGCTTTCAGTCTATCAGATGAAGAGATGGAAAAGGAGACGAATGTCAATAACCTGTCACGTGGTAGATTCAAGCAGCATAAAGTATCCAACGATGGTTGTTCTACTGAGCTAACAGAGACGAAGATTGAGGCCTCATCAGTGCTGATGGGAGGAGAGAGTTCAGAAGGAGAGACAACTGATACCCAGTTGCAATTAGCAAGAGCAGCAGGGTCAGATAATAGAAACTTGGTATTTCAGGAAGCAAAAGAGCAGTTAATTGGTGCTTCAGATGGAGTAGATGCCAAGAATGACGAATCCGCTCAAATAGAAGCGGAAGCCAGATTGGAAATTAATAGAAGCGATAATACTGCCAAAAGCTTAACAGATGATAACTCAGCATCTGGTAAGGGGAGCACATCTGGTAATCCTGTATCTTCTCATGATAAACAAATGAAGCAAGGTCAAGAGCCTAAACCATATACATTTGATAACTCAGAAGTAATGAATCAGAGTTCAGAGCTTAGTGGTGATCTTGGAGAATTGTCTAAATCCCCAACCACAAGAAGCTATCATGCTTATGATGGCAGTGTCTCTTCTTATGATGAAATGGATAAGCAATTCCCTGACCAACATTTGAAACTTTTGAGAATAATTACAATGCGACAAATGTTGTTTCTGAGGGAAGGCACAGAAAGGGAAAAGGCCCTGTAAATAGCTTGAATGTTCCACCTGATTTGCCCAGGGGAAAGCATCACGTCATGAAAGACACCAAAAGGAGTCAATACGAAGCTCTAGAGACTACAAGACGTGACCGCCCAGCTCGTCACCGAATGAGAGCAGGGACAGAAAATTATCCACCTAGAATGCCCTACCATCGAAGTGGTTTACAATCTAGCTATGGGAGTGACACGCCATCAAATCAAGTGCCTGATGATGAGCACTATTTCAGTAGCTCAAGCCTTCTTTCACCTGACTACTGTGAGGACTCTGACCAAGAGAAGTTAAATCTGTTGATAATGATCCATAAACTGCAGAATCAACTCAGAAGAACGAGCTCTCTGAAAGGGGATACAACTGAAAGACTTTTCCCTGGTGTCTCTTATAAGGGCGATCATGTTCTTCGTCCCGTAACATGAATTTCGTGAAGGAAGAGATTAGTTTGTCATGATCTCAGTGACCCTTGGTGTGATGCAAGATACTTCCATGGACCAATCAATTGGCGACAAAGGAGTAAGATACCACCAATACCTTTTTCAGCTGAGGCAACAAGCAGCACGCACCATGTTGATAATTCTTGCTTCCATTGTCAGCACAAAGAGTGGCGATATTCAGCAGACTTGCCTCCGCATGCTCTTTTCCAGCTTGAACAGTCGTGCAAATATCATCCTGGTCACAACAATTGTTGCTTCCCTCATCGCTCTTATCCATTCAACGCACCAAGGTACATCAGCTCTAAACTCCAATTATATGGCCATGAAACAAAGTCTAACGATCAGAGGCATCGAGCACATGAGATGAGAATGTACTTTAGGGAGAAACAGAACATGAACAAGAAACATTTCCGACCAGTTGCAGGTGGAGCCCCCTTTATCACTTGTCGTAATTGCTTCAAGCTGCTTCAGTTGCCTGCTGATTTTCTCCTTTTCAAAAGGGTATGTCATCAGCTAAAATGTGGACACTGTTCAGAGATCCTCAAGTTTTCATTGCAGGATAGAAGTCATATAGTTTCTTATGACCCAAGTCGGCATGGTGACCAAAGCGAGGTGATTAATGGGAGCAATCAATTGGCTTCTTCTGCTTCTCGTGCCAATTATTTTCATTCTTCACATGTGGTCCCGATTTCATTTTCTGACGATTATGGAAATTATGTGTCTAAAAGCTACTCCTCAGGAGGAGATCCTGTTTCACTGACCTCATTTCATCCATTACATGGCAGTGAGTGTGACACAAATGTCTCTTGTGCTTTTGAGGAGGAAGACAAGATTGCTTCTAGACATGCTCGTACAAGTAATACTCCTGTACGAACAACAAACGAATCAACAGTGGTCTCCTCAAACATGTCAGGGTCAGAAGCGGAGACAGTGCCGCCCCCAAGGAGCTCGCCACTTCATCAATTGATGGGTTATTCCTCACCAAGCCAAGTGATAAGAGGAATTCAGTCCACACGGTAATGGTAATGAGCTCATGAAAATGAACACGACTATAGCTGAGTATAAGTGCTTTAAGGATTAAAGCATAATACTTGGGTAACATTTCAGGACAAGATATGACGAGATTTTTTTTTTTTTTTGGTTGGGTTTTGTAGTTACCAGTTCGTAATCTTCAATAGGAGAAATTGGATTGCCTTTTTGCGCTCTAACTTTTATGCTAGAACTTAGGAGTAGCTTAGCTTCCTCTTTCAATTTGATTTATATTACTTGGGCAACATGTGCATCTTCCCTCTTGTTGTGCATGGGAATGTATGTTATTGGTAATAATATTAGATGTTGACAAATACAGGGTTCTTGTGTACTTTAAACTTGTATTTCATACTTTATATATATACGTTGTGTTGTGATCACATATTCGTAAAAATATCATTTCTTTTAAATCCATCACCTTCTCGAGTTCTACTCGTTTGTTGGCATTCATAATCACTTGGTTGATTCTTCATTTGTTTACTATTTCGTTTAGATTCCTATTCTTCTTCGTTTAATCTATTTCTTCCATTGTTGTCATGGAAACTGCACAGGCTCTTCTCAGGCATGACCCGATAAATTTATGGAGAATTACACATAATTGCGATTCATGGGTTTCTTTGGTCAAATACAAGGTAGTATACTTCAACGTAAGATGAAAAAATCATTAAACCGACGCCATTGAACCGCTGGCAACAGAAATTACTTTACATAAAATCTGTAAATAATTTATATTATTCTGTTTTTTAATATAAAAAAGCTAAATATATTTGTTGTTTGTATTTATAAATAAAATCATAAATTTTAATAAGTATTATCATGAATTTTTTTAAATTATATTTTATAAAGTCAATATTTTATCAGATAAATTCATTTCTCTGTCTCTTCTTGCTGCTGTCATCAACCAATGATCTCGAATTCTGTGTCATTACCTTCTATGTCTGCCACGTATGCATCTTCCTCACGCTCCAGACACGTGCACTGCCTTCTCTTTCTTCCTCGCCTCCTATAGATACCCCCCACCATAACGTTAACTCTTCATTCCAATTTCCAACCCAGAAACAGAGAATCAAAAGAGCCTAACCACTAACCATGAAAGCGTTCTTGTTTGTGAAGCCAAGCCACACAGCCTCTGTTCGTTTGTTGCTCCTTGCAACACTTGCTTGAAGCCTGGCAAGATGAAGATGAGCCAAGCAGCCTGGAGGCTGGTTCAGAGGAAAAAAGAAAATGGGTTAGCAGTGGGATGTGGGATTTGGGGTTTGGAGGCAGAGTTGGAGAGAGAATTGGAAGCAGAGATGAAGCAAAGCGTGAAGGAGAAGGAGAAGAGGAGGAGAATTGAAATGGCGAGGTTCAGGCATAAATGTGGGGAAGGGAAGGGGCTGGTGGAGCTGTTGGAGTGTCTGGAGAAGGAAGCCATAATGGGTGAAGATGTTGGGAAGGAGCCTCTTGATTACAACAGAAGGGCTCAGATATTTGATAAGAGCTCCAGAGTCTTCCAAGCTCTCAGGGAACACAACTCTGCTTCTTCTCCTCAACAATCTTCACAATGAACATCCACCTCACTCTTGATCTTGATCTCCATTCTTGTATTTCCATTCCACCAGTTTTGCTTTCTTTCTTGGTTTCTTTCTTGTTATGTTAATAACTGTTCAATGTGTACAAGAAAGGGTGGTGTTTCTGAAGCTTGATTTCTTGCTGTCACATAGCATAACTGCTACATTTTGAAAGCTATTCTTGGGCTTTCCAAGAAGCTTCTAGTGGGAGTGGGTTATTGTTTGGACCCACTATATTCAATCGTCTTTCTGATACTGCTATAACTTTTGCGATGGTCCTGTTTCAATCTTCAGATTGAATAATATCTCTATTCAGGTTCTTTATTTATGCAATAACCATCCATTAAAATTAAATAGGACTAATTAAGATGACTTCATTTTATGGCGAGATCATTGAACCTGAACACTTGTAATGACTACCTTGGGTCTGAAAACAGATGCATCTACCACAATTACAGTTTTACACTAGTATTGATTGACCCTGTCTAAATAGCATATCTTTGACAGACCCGGGTTAGGAAATAAAGTTTGTCAAAAATTCACTGCACTGGATTGTTTACACTTCACAGAACACATTGGTTGCTCTTAAGGGTGTTCAATCTGAACCCGTCTCGATTGGCCCGGTATCATCCGATCATATCGGGACGGTCTTGTCCCGACCCGAAATAATCGGGACGGGAC